TAATCCTCACCTGAGGAAAAGGTGTTTTGTTTTGTTTTGTTTTTCCATTGATTTTTAGAGGGAGAGGGAGAGAGAGAAACATCGATTGGCTGCCTCCTGCACAACCCCCACTGGGGATCGAGCCTGCAACCCAGACATGTGCTCTGACGGGGAATCAAACCGGTGACCTCTTGGCAAGCCACACCGGCTGGGCAGACTGCACATTTATTTAGCACCAAGCACAAAAGGCCTCCTGTCTTGGTCCGTTTGGACTGCTGTAACAAACCATCACAGACTGGGTAGGTTGTACACGAAGGAAATTTCTTCCTCGGTTCTGGAGGCTGGAAGTCCAAGACCGTGGTGCTGGCCCGGCCACGTCCTGGTGAAGGCTCTTCGTGGTTCATAGCCAGTGCCTCCTCACGCTGCTCGCGTGGCAGGAGGGGCTAGGGGTCTCTGGAGCCTCTTTTATAAGGTGCACCAATCCCATTCTTGAGGCTCCACAAAGTCCCCACCTCCTAGTATCACCACCTTTGGGCGTTAGGATTCAACGTATGAATTTTGGAGGGGACCCATGTTTACACCAAAGTATCTCTCATGGTAGAGGTTCTCTCGCTGACTACCCGACACCTCCCTCACACCCAGGACTAAATCAGACCATCCGCAGGCCTTGAGCGTTAGAAACAGAAGCTAAAGCCTTCCCACTTTCTCAAAGACCCCATCTCCTGGGGTGGGGGTTCTAAAGTGCTCAGAGGCTCTGCCCTGGGGGTGGGGGGTGAAGATGGAGGGCTGGAAGGGGAGCTGTCTACAGTGGAAGCAGCTCAAGACTCCAGAGACAGAGCTGGGTTAGGTGCTGGCTCTACCACTTACAAATTGTGTTCCTTGGGCCAGTTGCTCATGTCTGTGCCTCAGTTTCTCATCTGTACCATGGAGATGAGAGCACCTACCGCATGGGGTTGTTGTGAGCATTAAATGAGGAAAGTGTGTAAAGGACACAGCACAGGGCAGGCACTCGGTATGTGTGGCTGACATGTTTGTTGATTTCTGAACCTGCGGACTTAACCTCCTCGTCTCCCTGGACACAAGAGGAGGGGACACCAGGACTGGAGCCATCTCTGTTGAGGAGGAGGAAACAGAACCAAGAAGATGGGCTTCTTCCCCCTCACCTGTCTTTGAGATACAATTCCCACTCATCTAGAACTTCGTCTTGCTCGATCCCTACAACACCGCTTTAACGATTTCCACTCTTCCTTATGCACCTTCCCTCTACTCCATCTGAAAGCCAGCCTCCCTCCTTTACTTATTTGGAAGGAAGGCCATCCCTGTAGGCCAAGCTGGGCTGGAGGCTCCTCCAGGATGTGGGGCTTCATCTAGTTGAATGAGGAGGAGGGTTCAGATGAGTCCAGATCAGGTGTGTGTTGCTGGTAGTGGGCTTCCAATGGGAAAATCCACTCAGGAGGTATCGAGAAGTAAAAATGTGAAGAGCAAAGCTTTGGGCCAGGCAGACATGGGTTCAAATACTAGAGCTGTAGGACTTAGTAAGTCACCGAATCCCTCTGAGTCTCAGTGTGTCTATCTGGGACATGGATATCAAAAGATCCGCCTTCCAGGATTACGGTGAGGATAAAGGGAGATAACTTTTGAGGAAGAATCTGAAATGGTGCTTGGCATATGGTAGCATCCTAAAAATAAACACTGGTCCCTTTCCCTTCACTCCTGCACATGGACAAGTCCAGCTCAGAGGACAGCCCGTCACTCAGCAGTTCTGCTATAGAACCGCAAGCAATACAGAGCTGACAGGGGTCTGGGGGTCTTTCCCTCCATCCTAGGAGTCACCCAGCCTGTCCTTGGACATGACTGTCCTCTTCGGAATTCCTGACCCATGACTTTTCAGCCTTAGCTTGCACACTCCACAGATGAGGGGCTCATGACCACATTTTGGCACAGTCTGGGCAGCTCTGATCATTATAGAGGGCTTCCTTGAAAAACCTGTCTCCTTGTAATTTCCACCCACCAGTCAGAGCTCTGCCCACAGGCCTCAGAGAATCCCTAGACTCAAGTTCACTCATCAGTCCTCTGAGATTTGAAGCAGCACCTGAGGAGTTAGCTGAAATCTGGATAGAAGATCCCAGCTGGGCAAGCATTTGTCCAGGCAGTTGCTGAATGAGCAGGACAAGAAGAGGGATGGGGAGGAGTGGGGGGGGAGGGGGCCTAGCCTTGCATATGCTGCTATGGGTCAGCTTCAGTCTGATGGCATCTCTCCCCTAACCCTGCCAAGGTTTTGTTCCAGCAGCTTCTGTCTAGCCAGAGGGGGGTTGGGGGTGGGGGTTGTGGAACATCAAGCATGGGGGCTGTTCTTGAAATAGGCCAGGAGGGCAGGCTCAGGCCAACTCTCCTGAAGGCCCCCTGCCTGGCCCCCAAACCCGTCCCACCGTCAGATGGGCTCCAAGCAGCTCTGCTCTGAAAGGCAGGCCGCCAGGCGCAGGCCAGGCTGAGAGCTGCTGAGCAGGAGCCCCAACTTCCTCTCCTCTTGCACCGCCCTCTGCTGCCCGCCCCCCCTGCCTGGCGCGGGGGATGTTTTCCACTCGCTGGCGTGCAAGTTCTATCCTGCTGTTTCCCCCCTTTTTCTGGAGTTAAACTTTCCGGAGGACACCACCAGCCCCAGGCCCTGCTCCTGTCCAGAAGAAAAGCAGCGGAGTGAGCCCTTGGAGGACACAGTCAACAGAGGGCACTTCTGCGGAGCAGCTGCCCCACCCCTGCAGGCCCCAGGCTCCCATGTCTGAGTGGCCACTGGGGGAGCCGAGTCCTAAGGAGGCCAAAGCCACTGGTGCCTGCTGCTGGCCCCAGGTAAGGAAGGGCCCCTCCCTAGGGTGTACCAGGTGACAGGGGAGCATGGCAGAGCCCATCTGAGGCTGCCCAAGAGGGAGCGTCCTGGAGAGAGACCCCTAGCTGAGGCCCCCCACTCTAGGCAGGGGCCAGGCCTGCCCCTCCCCCAGCCACCTGTCTCCTATCCTTACTGTTGTTGGAGGTCCCACCCCCAGCCCAGGGGCAAGGTCAGCAGTCTCAGAAGCTGGCCTGGTCCCTCCTCTGCCCAGGGTTCAGGAAGCATATATCCCACTTTGTGCAGTTTATAAACCCAGAGCTCCCCCGCCCACCCCCCCGCCCCGAGTTCATTAGGAACCTTGAAGCCAAGAGGGGAAGAGAAAGAAGGGGGTGCTTTTAACCCGTTCACCCCCAGCAATATTACAATCTTCTTTTTCCGGGGAGTTAGACTGGAGCCCTGGGCTGTGAATTGGGGAGAGTCGGATCCCCCTTCTGCCTCCATCTCCTGGTACCGCACGTGGTCAGCCAGCTCTGCCCTGGCCCGTCTGCCAGCCTGGGCAGAGACTGGGAGGGGTGATGGTGTAGAGGCATAGCAGGAAATATGGACAAGTCACCTTGGTTAGCTGCCCACCCCAGCCCCTACTCCCTGGCTTCTTCTGGCCTAAGGACTTTTGTTTTTCATCCCAGAGATGGGGAGAAGGACACATGGGGCCACACCCTGGCCTGCCTCTGGTTTGTGTGGGTGGAGCCTGGGAAGGGAGCTGAGGCAGAACAAGTCTGGAGCTGAGGCCGAGACCGCTTCCTGGCAGGCTGCCAGTGCTGCTGCAGCCCAGACCAAGGCAGAGCCAGCCGGGGGGCACGGCTGAGCCTTAGCCTTCATCAGCCTTCCTGTGGCTGGCAGGCTCTGTGGTCTGAGTCCAGGGACCCGGGTGGAACAAGGCCGCTGGGAAGCTGCTGGACAGGGACAGGGTAATGCGTGAGGACGGGGAGGTTCACCAGGGATGGACACAGAGCAACGGAGGGCTCAGCTTGACTCATCCTGGTCCATTTCCCAGGCCTTCTGAGGTTGTGGTCAAAGTCCTGCCTGAGCACCTCCACATCTGAATGGCCCCAAGCAAGGTACTTTATTCTCTTTAGGCCTTAGTTAGTTGCCTGATCTCTGCAGGAAGAAAAGTCATCCCACTCTGCCTCACCTCTGGGAGCCACCCCGAAGGCCCAATAGGGTGAGAGGGATGAGGGATAAAGTGTCCTATGTCACACAGAGGACAGTCATCAGGCACTGTGTGTTCTGTTCCCTTCCTCTCCCCCCCAGCATCCCTAAGAAGAGAGCAAGGACCAGAATGATGTATGCTCTTTTCACAGATGAGGACACTGAGGCCCAGAGAACAGTCATGAAGTGTGCTGAGTCAGGATTTTCTAAACCAGTCCAAAGCCTGAGGTCTCCAAAATGAAAAGGTTCTTATAAACTCCAGGAATGCTGAACCAGATTCACTACCTTCTTCTACCCCACCCCACACCACAGGGTCAAGTCTAAGTCCCTTATCCACCAGGACAGCCAGTCTAGCTTTTTTACCCCTGGGGCTAGAAGCCTTGAGAACCCACCCTCCACACAGTCCTAGGTCCCTCAGCACTGCCTGGAATCCCAAAGGGAAAGCCAGTCAACACCCCACATTCCCCAACGCCACAGGGCCATGCCTAACCCCTACCTCGAGAAAACCTCGCAGTAGCAACACGAATCTAAGTGTCGGAGGCAGATGGACTCGAGCTCAAATCTCAGCCACTTATGTGGCCTTGCTAAACCCTCACCCTTCTGTGTGCACACAAGGGACGTGACAGCTCAACGCGGGTCACGATGCTGGGCAGTGAGGGCTGTAAAGCACCCAACATATAGTAGGGGCTCAGTGAAATGTGGCTATTATCATTCCCTCCAGGTCCTGGAGCTCCGCGTCTCCTTCCTTTCTCACCAGCCTGACCACAGAAGACCCCCTCTATCCCCGTGTTCAGAGGTGAACATTTATCAGTTATCAGCTCTTCCGCAGGGAGCACCAGGCCGGCTATTATTCTAGATGATGACGTAACAAGACTGTGCCCTGCCTTCAGGCGCCCACCTGCCCGCACGCCTTCCTCGTCTCGCCAGGCACCATCAATCCCCGTCACCTCCGGTCCCCACCCCTGCAGTCAGTCCTCCGGCTGACCTCACCATGGCAGCTCTCATCGTCGAGAACTTCCGCTTTCTATCGCTCTTCTTCAAGAGCAAGGATGTGATGATTTTCAATGGGCTGGTGGCACTGGGTACGGTGGGCAGCCAGGAGCTGTTCTCTGTGGTAGCTTTCCACTGCCCTTGCTCGCCAGCCAGGAACTACCTGTACGGGCTGACAGCCATTGGTGTGCCCGCCCTCGCACTCTTCCTCATTGGCGTCATCCTCAACAACCATACCTGGAACCTGGTAACTGAGTGTCAGTACCGGAGGACCAAGAACTGCTCGGCTGCCCCCAACTTCCTCCTTCTGAGTTCCATCGTGGGTCGTGCGGCCGTGGCCCCCGTCACCTGGTCTGTCATCTCCCTGCTGCGCGGTGAGGCCTATGTCTGTGCTCTCAGTGAGTTCGTGGACCCCTCCTCGCTCACGGCCGGGGAAGAAGCCTTCCCGCGAGCCCATGTCACAGAAATCCTGGCCAGGTTCCCTTGTGGGGAGGGCCCTGCCAACCTGTCAGGCTTCCGGGAGGAGGTCAGCCGCAGACTAAAGTATGAGTCCCAGGTAAGGATGTGCAAAGGTAAGCTCCTCCTCTTCCTTCCTTAGGAGGTAGCTGGTGGGGAGGTGTCGGGATGGTTCTGTGTTGAAGCTAGAGTTGGTCCCCAGGGGCCAAGTTCTCCAGGAAAACACTCTTTAGATGATCAACATCAGGTATGAGAGCTGGGTAACCCATGGGTTAGTGCTTGGTGGGACAAGGGTCAATTCCAGTCCCAAATAAGTTTTAAATGTTAATGTTCTGACTCAGACTGAGCCTTGATCCCAGTCACAGATTAAGCCCCTTACTCCAGGCAGATGGAGCACAAAGCCTGAAAGCCTATGAAACATTTGCTATGGGCCATGAATTGATAGTGGGGTGTGGCTGGCCCCAGGGATGATAATGTTCCTATCCCAGGCAGGGCCCAGCCAGCAATGAATCAGCCTCAGGCACTGCTGACGTAAGAGGAGTCCTTTGAGCCAGGAAGCTGCTGCCCTGATTCTAGCCTCAGCCTTGGCTTAGTTCTGAAGGAGTGAAGGTTGGTCAGGGGAGAGAAGGGCAGAGACCTGGGCAGAAACAGAAAAGCTGAGCTGGAACCATTAACTTGGAGAAGCAGGGGGTGAGGAACACACAGGGAAGAGCATAAAATTTTTTAAAAGGTCTCTCGCCCACTGCTGTGGCTCAGTGGATTAAGCCCCATGGACTGAGAGGTCCCGGTTTGATTCCCGGTCAGGGCAGTGCCCAGGTTTCGGACTTGATCCCCAGAGGGGGTGTGCAGGATTCAGCTGATTGATGTTTCTCTCTCTCTCTAAAAAACCAATTTAAAAATAAATAAAATAAAAGGTCTCCTCTCAGGTATGTAAGAGATACAAATAGAGAAGCAGGGTTGGAGACAACACCAAAGCAGATGGAGGATGAAACAGAAATAAAATTTATGATCGAAAGCCCACAGGTCTCTGGAATGAATGGGGAAACAAAGGTGACTTCAACTGCTCTAGCCCTCAGTAGGCTCACACCCAAGCGAGTGTTTGAGGCAAGCACATGGGTGATTTCAAAACAAGGCACAGTGATGATGCAGGAAGAACCAGGCCATGGGGGGCTTAGGGAAGGCAAGACTGCTTCCTGGAGGTGGCATGTGGGCTTAGCCTGGCAGTGTGGGCTGGATTTTGATGGGTTGAAATGATGTGAAGAGGGGACCTTGGAGCTAAAGAAATGGCAGCAGAAAAAGTGGGAGACAAAGCCTAAGAACAGAGAAACTGAATTCGAGAGAGTGAGGTAAAAGCGGTGAAACTATAGCCAGAGGTCTGCTTCCCTTACAGAAGCAGGGTCTTCATTCAGGGAGGAAGTGAGAGCCAGTTCTCAGGGGGTTCTGAGGCCCAGGTTCAGCCCAGCCAACCCCTATTTCATCCTGGGTGGGTGAGGGCTCAGGCAGCAACTTGCCCCTCCTCAACCCTGCCCCTTCTCTGGCCAGCTCTTTGGGTGGCTGCTCATGGCTGTGGTGGCCATCCTGGTGTTCCTGACCAAGTGCCTCAAGCATTACTGCTCGCCACTCAGCTACCGCCAGGAGGCCTACTGGGCCCAGTACCGCAACAACGAGGAGCAGCTCTTCCAGCGCACCGCCGAGGTGCACTCGAGGGTGCTGGCCGCCCACAACGTGCGCCGCTTCTTCGGCTTCGTGGCACTCAACAAGGAAGACGAGGAGCTGGTGGCCAAGTTCTCCGTGCAAGGCACACAGCCGCGGCCGCAGTGGAATGCCATCACCGGCGTCTATTTGTACCGCGAGAACCAGGGCCTCCCACTCTACAGCCGCCTGCACAAGTGGGCCCAGGGTCTGCCGGGCAACGGCACAGCCCCGGACAACATGGAGATGGCCCTGCTTACCTCCTGAGGATCCTGTTCCCACACTGCAAGTGACAATCCTTGGTCCAACACTGAACTCCACTGCCTGCTCACATCAGCCTCAGATATTGTTTTAACCATAGCTTTTGGGGAAAATAGACCAAGAGAAAGGAACAAAGTAATCTGGGTACAGAGGAGACAGCTAGTACACAAGGTGGTCAGCTCTGACAGGAAGGCTCTCCGACCTGAAGAAATTCCCTCCTGTCACCACCAGCCACTTGGTCAACGGCTTGGAGGAAAGACCCTTACTCAGAACTGGTCCTTAATTAACTATGTGGATGACCTACGTGGGTGGGACTCTGAGGCTGAGAGGCTCTGGCCAGCAGAGCTAGGCGACAGTGAAACTCACCAGCAGGCTCACTGTATAGGACACTGTGCGGTTAATTTGTGTCTAACTGCGTATGGACACCCAGCTCAGCAGTGCTCAGCTGGGAAGCTGCCCTTCAATAAAGCGAATGGCTTTATTTTATATATTTACAATTTTTATAAAGCTTTCTTAGTATAAAGGACTGTCTTGGTGTCTGCAGATTGGATGAGCCATGCCACAGCAGCCTGGGAACAGGCCTAAATCCCATCCGCGAGGGGAGGGGGACAGAGACCCTGCGAAGGACGACGACGGACAGAGGAGAGCAGGGCAGCAGGGACAGCAGGGGCGCCCACACCCGGGAAAGCTCTGGAGCTGATCTCATAGCAACTGGATTCAGTTATCTGGTCTGATCTGGGGGCGCAGAGATGGCCTGGCCTCTCTCCGTGGGAAGCTCAGCTTAAAGTTCTTGAGTCAGAAGATCTACACTCAGTAGGGAAGATTAGCTCTCATAACCCAGGCCTAATAACCAAGAATCAAGCCCACCCCTGCTTCTCCTCCCTCCCATGCCCGCCCTTGCCTGACAGCCTCCACAGCCTCTAAAACCTTTGATGCCCTCCTGCTTCCTGGCACATGACTCAGTTACTGCCCATGGAAAAGCTGTCTAGTTCTCAGGACATTTAAAACTCTGCCAAAGAAAATTATGAATTCTCTCAAGACCCAGCCAAAAAAGAAGTGGCTTCAACAACAGCAGGGTCTGTGCTGGCTTCCAAGAACTCTGAAACATATAAGATCACCACTTATCAAACGACACAGACTGTCTTTCTGGGACTTTCACAAGGGAGGTGCGGGCCCAGCACCTCTCTCTCAGGACTCAAGGAATAACCATCAAGTCAATCAATGCCCTCCACCCAGCAACCTCTCTCCCCCTAGAGGAGCTAGAAGGGGACACAGAGAAACTGCAAGGTTCTCCCCAAAGCCACGCAGCATGCCAGTCTAGATCCTCACTGAGCCTCCTACCTGCCAGCATACAATATACATGCTCTCATTTCATCCACAAACCCTGCGAGGTAGGACTTTTTAAGCCCACTTCACACACGAGGCACCAATTTGGAGAGGCTGGGTTATCTGGCCCTGGTGGGCTGAGAGGAGAGATCACCACTCAGGTGCCCTGATTTCCCAATTTTCCTTTCTGGGCCTTTGTCCTTCTGTCCCAACTCACAGCCTCCACAAAAGGGTACAAGACTGAGCTGTGCTGAGCTAAGGCTAACGGAATGCCTAGAGACCGCTGGAGCTAAAGGAAGGGGCTGCTCCCTGGACCCTGCTAACCCCTCTGGCTGGACCGAGCCTGCCAGGGTCAAAGTGGGCCCCTGACCACAGTCAGCCCTTCCACTCCAGCTCCCTGGGAACACCCATGAAGGGGAAACCCTCAACTTTTCTTGAACCTGCAAGAACTGAGCAGTCTCAGAAAAGAAAAAAGATGAAATTGGTACTTGAAACAAAATAGGAATTTATAAGAACAAAATAGGAATTTACAAGAAATTTCAAATGCCTCTTTATCCTAACAGGATTACCCCAAGGGTGCTACAAAAAAGCAGCAATTAAATAGAGCCCTCAGGCAACAGTGTCCAGCTGCAGGGTGCCTGAGGTTTGGTCCCACCGGCTCCCTGCTGATGGGCGTCCAGAGCCAGCCTGCAGCTACTCCTCCAACACGGAGCTCTTAGCCTCCACGTAGTCCAGGGCCTTCGCCTTCACTGCCTGCACGTCCTTCTCGGTGCCATGCTGCTTCTCATAGTCCAGGTAGCGCTTGAAGAAGAATTTCATTCGCTTGGGGGCCAGACTCAGGTGAATGACCCGCTCGAAGATGTCCCTGTGAGGAAGAGCAGGGCAGCGTTAGCCTCTTGGTCCCTCGCCACACACCTGGCTGCGTCCACCACTTGCTCCCAGGCTCTGGAGCAGGCTCTCTTCCAGCTTTATTTTTACTATCATTACACACTCCCATCTTGTCCATTGGGGAAGACAGAATACCACCCTTACTTTCCAGGTGAGCAGACAGACACAGATATTGAAGGACTACTGGCCTGAAGTCACAGTGACTCAGGACAAAGCTACTGGGAGGGGACACGCACGAGGCACACATCTGTGAGAAAAGCTGGCTTAAAACTCGCTGCTGGGCTCAGGTGAGGCACTAGTTCTTTCTGGACCTCAGTCTACCCATCTCTGATCCCCCTGCCTGTGGGGATGCTAGCGGACACCAATGAGATTATGCCTGTGAATATTCTCCATGAGAGTCAGGCACAGTGTTAATCATGAGAGAAACCCAAATCTCCTGAACCTCAGGACAGCAGCCAACCTATCTCTCACCCAAGGTTCCAGACAGAAAAAGAAGTTGGAAAAGTGAATGCCAAGCCCTGGCCGGTTTAGCTCAGCGTTAGAGCGTCGGCCCGTGGACCAAGGAGTCTCAGGTTTGATTCCAGCCAAGGGCATGTACCTCGGTTGCTGTTTGTCCCCGGCCCCAGCTTGGGTTGTGCAGGTGGCAACCAATCGATGTGTTTCTCTCACATCAATGTTTCTCTCTCTCTCTCTCTTCCTCCTGCTCTATCTGAAAATAAAAGGAAAAATATCCTCAGGTGAGGATTTAAAAAATAAATAAATAAAAGTGAACGCCATAGGACCTGATGTGTCATGTCAAAGCTGTTTTTCCAGACAGAGTAAGATAACTGGGGATGCTGGGAGCCGCTGTGGTTGCTAAAAGTCAATGTCCCCAACACCCCACAGGGAATTCAGCCCTGGTCTGTCCTCCCCTCTCACCGGACTTCCTTCTGGCTGCCATGCTTGATGGTCATGTCGATGTAGACGGACCAGACATCTGTGCGCTTTGGGTAGGTGCTCAGGGTGTTCTCAAAAATGGCCTTGGCCCGCTCCACATCCCCCAGCTGGAACTCAAGCTGGGCAAACTTGGAGATCACATCCACGTCTGCAGGGAGAGGACAGCTGAGACACACAGAGCAGACAGAGCCCTCACCACAACAGTGTGACTGACTCCCTGCTCGTGCCCCAAGACACAGGCGACGACACAAGGGCAGTGGAGTAGATTAGGGCCAAATACACAAACGGGCACAGAGCTACGACTCCCACTGCAGACACGCTACTCTCTGTGTGCAGGGACAAGAGAATTAGTGCTAACTGCTTTCTGTGCCTCTCTTCAGCGTTTAGCACTCGAAATGCAACATGTATTATGTCCATGAGCATATAATCAGCAGAGAGACAGCTATGTAACCCCAAGGCTTCCTACCACCACCCTCAGATGAGGGGCCCCGCAACCCCCAGGCCCGGACGGGAGAGAGCCTAATGTGCTCAGGAACCAGGCCGACGGCGGGACAAGGCACTCACGCTCTTTTTTAGGCAGGCACTCGAGGGCCCGCTGCATGGCGCGGTGACTGGCCCCAGCCTGGCCCCTCCGCAGAAGAAAGGCGCCATATTTGATCCAGACAGCCTTCTCCTGCCGGAAGCGCTTCAGCATCCGGGTGTAGAGCTCACTAGCTTCCTGTGGCAAAGACAAGGCAAGCTGAGGAAAGTGATGCGATAGAGGGGGAAACAGTAAGACAGCTTCGCTTGTGAGAAGGCAGACTCGGGCTCGCAGACTCCAACCACTGTGCAGGCCCAATTCTAGACAGGGGAGAGGGCAGCTCACAGAGATGAGGCCTAGCACGATGGGGAGCCTCCCTACTAATCCTGTGGCATATGGAGGTCCAAAGACTAGAACTGGACTGAGAACATGGGGATTCTCCGAGACTTCCCTGCTGCCTCTGTGACCCCCAGGAGTACGTTTCTGAGCGGCTAGGGACCCTCCAGCAGCAGGCCACTGGGCCCAGACTCCTACCTGGAACTTCTCTGACTTGGCGTAGATATCAGCTAGCTGGAGAAAGACCTTGAGAGGATCATTGTATTGCACAGCCCGCTCGAAGACCCTGGTCAGTGACTCCTGAGAGCCGTACATGTTTTCTAGGTTCAGCAGTGCCACCCACACGTTCAGCTTCTCCTGTTCCTCTCTGGAGGGAGAGCAGTCAGCACATGAGCTCCATCATCTCAGCCCAAAGAGCCCTGCACGCCTCTCCAGGAATATTGACTAGAACTCCATCCTCCTCCCCAGGCTCCATCCATGTCCTCAGTTCCCACCCTCAAGTGCAGGCACCAAGAGGCCCTGTCCCACCGCAGTTCACACAGCAGCAGGAACCCCAACCCCCTGACTACCGGGTCTGGGGCTCCCACACAGAGGCTCTACCTCCATTCCTAGGAAGGAAGCCTGAGATCTGAGCTGGAAGGAGCAGAATCTCTGGTCTGATTCTCTCCCCAAATGAAAAGAATGAAGTAAAGGATCACCATTCTTCTTCATTAGCCTTCAGGACACTTACTCTACTTTCCGCCTGGAAATGGCTACCTGAGGGGTCTTCACCCAGGTTTGTAGAAAGTTGTGTTCCCTATTTTGCTTCAGTCCCAAGTTGAGTGCCTTATTTACGTTAGGAACTCTTACAAATGTTACCCTTAGCTGTTTCAGTGAAGAGGACTATAAATTATAAATGAGCAGATCTATTTCACAGATGGCGCATCTGTGAGAGTCTGGGAACTCCTGGGGGCCCCTGATGGTGGCCACCCCAACTGCTGCCATCCTGCCAAGGACAAAATGACCCACAGGTGGCAAGCCCTGCAACCTGTGGAGACACCGTCCTTCATGTCAGAAGGCCCCTCTCTAAAGCAGGAGGGACAATGCCCAGACCTGAAGGAGATGGTCTTGAGCGCCCTCTCGGCCACTGCCCGGGCCTTCTCGATCTCCGTGGCCTGCAGGTGGAAGGCCATGTATTGCAGCCACAGGATGGAGCTGTTGGGGGAGCTCAGCACGAGTCGGTCAAAATCATCTGCTGACTCTGGCTGCCGCCCAGGATCCATCAGTGCCTCCTCAATGCGGGACAGCTCTTTCTCTGCCTTCTGCTTCTCCAACTCCCTTTCCTTTTTGCTTTTCTTCTTCTGCTATGAAAAGATAAAAAAAAGGTGAGCAATCAGCTCCTCAGACCCTGGGCAGGTCTATAATGAAGCCACAAGTTGGCAGGGCAGTCCATAAGCTCTATAAATACTCCTTGGCCTGAGACCGCCTCACCCCACTGAAAGAGACACCCACAGGCT